TCATAGTTTTGGATTATTGTAGGTAATCACAAAATTGTGTAGACCGTACAACAAATCATCATAATTTTTTTTGATGTACGCTAGAGATAATCTCTATGTCAAAGACAAAGTGTAGATCATAATGGTAGGCAAAATACTTTGCTGCCTAAGCACGGTCTCTGGGCAGGATAATTCATAAGTGAATTAAACACAACCATTGCTTAGGTCTCTACCATCTTGTGTAATGTCAAAATAAATGATGAAAATGGTAATCGTCACTAATATGTAGACCATTTGTCACTCCAAAACCATTATGTTGGGTAAAAACACAGTGTAGGTAATCAGCAAATTTCAGAGAAATGTGATGTAGACCTCTCAGTAATGGGTGATTGAATCACTGCTATAGGCACGGTTTCTAGGCAGGATAATTCACAAGTGAATTAAACGCAGCCAATGCCTTAGACTCCATTACCTTGTGTTAATTAACCAAAATAATCAAGATATATGATATATTGCAATTTTAATCCTACAGTAATTAAAAGTATTCTAATTCTGGGGATAACATTGTTAAATTGCATCTAAGTCACTTGCTAATTTAACATGTATGTGGTGCAAAAGGGGTTTGGGGGCACCAATATACCCAATTCTATTATAAAATTACAAATGCAACATATATGTGGTGCAAAACAGTGGGTTTGGGTGCACGAACATAGTCCAATTTAATAGCAAAGTTACAAACATAATATGTATGTGGTGCAAAATCGGGTTTGAGTGCACCAACATACTCCAATTTTATAATAGAATATTAAATTGCATTGGACTATTATTGAAACAAATCACATATGTACAATGACAAGGTATAGCAGGTACAGAGAAACATCAAGTAATTATACATAAAACATATGTTCTTGCAGGAATTAAATTAGCTAAAACATAGGCTAATTAATTGTACCACTACTAGAAACAAAAATAACAAAAAAAATATTTTCTGGACTCAAAACAGAGCAAATTTGGATCAGGCGAGCAGTAACAGGCCCATCAGCGCAGTGGCAGGCCCACCAGCCGAGCAGCAGAGGGGGAGGGGGTGGCCAGGCCCCAACCTAGGCCGGGGACGCCAATCTGGCCCAGCGGGCTCCTGCCATATGTCCGGCCCTCATTTTCAGAGTCCAAGTGCATTTGTATTTGTGCCAGGATCAACCACAAAAACGCACAAAATAACAGGAATGACACATAGATTTAATATAAAATACTGAGCTTTATTGATACTGAAAATAAGGTCTTACAATAGTCAAAGTTCAAATGGCATAGCCATAGGCATTACATAACTAGCGATGTTCTACTACCATGATGCGGCAATTTATTACAATGGCGTGGTGGCTACTCAATAGAAACTACAGCGAAGTGGTACTTTACTCCACAAGTATGCTTGAGCGCAGTCAAAACCCTATATCCTAGTAACTCCTTCCAGTGGATTCATTGGTCTTCGCATGGCTCCTAGTCCTCGTGGCCGGTTCGCCTCCTCGTCGATGTTGTAATCTTCCTCAGGGTCGATATCTGTGAGTCAACAACGGGTGAGTACATAAAGTACACAGCAAGCCCTAACCTTGGGGTAGGGTGAGGTGGATGGTGAAGGCTATTTGGTGGAGGCGGATTATGATAGCGGAGGTGGAAATGGTAAGGTGATATAGTGTAAAATTAATGGTGATTTTGGCCCTGGGAGAGCATTACCCTTCTCGCCAGTTTCTGAGTTTTATTAATAGTCAGATTAACCTATTAGTTTAGTTTCATTACATAAAAGAAATCTAATCATAAGAAACATCATCCCAACGATTGCCCATTCCAACGACTTGGCTATTCGAATAGATTTAATAAGCTCTGTAGAGGGTGCACACTTTTCTCCACATGATAGGCACAATCTCAACCATGATCAGTGGTAGAAATAGGCCTAACAAGATCTCGTACCTGAAAGACACGACCTTAGATTTCTATATAATTCTACTACGGCTTCTCAGGGGTCAGAAACACTCAAGGACTTGGATGAGCACACAGCATGCAATAGATGAATACATAAAGGTGCTCGCACACGGCACAACGATAATTCTACATGGAAAACCACATAGCAACCAAGCCGACCAGACCATGAAAGATCACCCAGCATTCATGTCGTCTCCTGATACTCCATTGCCACACCGGCCTCATAGTAGAATTTATACTTCTATCTAACGAGGTGTGAGATCAAGTCTACCCATATAGACATGTGGTTGTATGAAATATCAGGCTAGGCGAAATGGCCTATGACCAGGTCCTTATGTGACCGAGGCGAGTATCTCCCAACAGGAACCCTCACTAGGCGATCTTGCCAAAGTAGTTTATACCACATAAACTACCCCTCACTCGCCCCTGACTAAAATGAGTTTACAATTACTAGATTATAATTTATTTTAACACCATTTTTATTCTCAGGTTCATCCATATCATAGAGCTTATAAAATACCTTAAGAAGCTTTATCATAACGTCAAGATTCACAATTTGAGAGCTCATAACATATCACAATTCATTCAAGTAAAGAGACTATAAATTGAGTTTATTGTTTGATTAGCGGAAATGGATGGCGGTGGGTTTTATGGTGGAGGTAACAAATATATTAGTGGGGAAGGGGGTGTTAGGACTTGCCTTCGTTGTAATCTCCTTCTGGTTCGACGTAGTCTGGGTCCTCGCCTTCCTGGTACTCACCGTCCTCTGTCGGTCGTTGCTAATAAATAAGACTACAGCCAAACACAAAAGCAAATACAAAAGGCAAACATAGAACTATATGGTGGTACTAGGTAAAATAAATAAAGCTAGATTTTAGAAGAATTTTAGTGGTGGTTTCACGGAAAATGGAATTAGAATGGAGGAGATATGATTTTTAAGGATTTTAAAAAATAGGGTTTGGGAGTTTGTGGAATTTTAGGCATTTTTGGGTGCATGCAAAAGTCATGGTAATGGTATGGGTAGGTTCTAGGGTGTCTCTAGTTTATTTAGAAATTTTCTAGAAATTTTTCTAAGCAAGGAATATGGTTTTTCGACACTCTGTGTACACTATCCGGGGATACCTCATGTTTTCCGTGTGTAGGGCGCTATGCGGGTGAGCCGGTGTAGGGCACTGTGCTGTAGACCGGTCCCGTATGTCTCTAGTTCACGTGCACCGTGTGCAAGGAGAAGGGAGGAGGTGTGAGTAAGAGTGTGTGTAACAGGTGGGGTCACGGTGGCGGTGGCACGCATCACTAATGTGTGGGCCCTCTCCGTCCTTCTCACTCGGTCGTCGTGGACGCTGTTTTGGTGCCAGGCCCATGAGTCAGAGGCAGAGAGGGGAACGGAGACCTCTGGCTCGCCGGTAAAAACAGAGCAAGGCGCGGGCCTTGTCGGAATTGGCCTCGCCGGCGACGTGCTTGCCCGAGGCTCGACTCGGATTAGCTGCCAGAGCTCCAGATACTATCCTGCGATGATTGGTGGCTTCCTCAGTCACGCTACGCGCCTACGGTGGTGGTGGCAGCTCACCGTGGTGAATGCGGCGGCGCGTTGTTGGGCGTGTGTGTGTAAGGCCTCCTACGGTCGCTGGTTCACGTGTATGTGCATGTGGTGGTGGTGCGGACACTCTAGGGGAGCAGCCACACTCGGTCGTGCCTTGCCGACGACCACCGGCGGCAATGGCGGCTCGGTGTCGGGTGATACTCAGTGGTAGGGTAACCTAGGTTGAGAAAGGAAGTTAGAAATGGAGGAGAAGGTGTAAGAGGGGCTCAAGGGCGCACCTGTATCCCTAATTGGCCAGCAACGCTCTACAGAGGGGAGACTCGGAGCTTGGACTTCGTGGCGACGGCGGCGGCTGATTTGGGGGAAAAAGGAACGGAGCTCAAAAGGGAAGGGAAGAGGGGAGGTGTGGGGGAGATGGCGTGTTCCAGCTCAATTCGGAGCTCACAGTGGTGGTGGTTGAGGCGGAGGCTCACCAGCGGGGCCTTTTATAGACCGGTGAGGTCGGTGGTGACGGCAAGATCTTTTCTGCCCGTCGGCAGATATTTTCTTCTCCGCGCACGCACTCGAGCTCGATGAGGGTTCTGGATGCTGAGCTAGATGCCTCAGCATCCCCTCGTGCTCCGATGAAGTCAGTGCTAGGTAAGGCCACGTCAATGGCGCCGGCGGGGTTCCCGCGCTAGCCTCTCTGATGGCGTTGACGCACTATGGAGCACAGGGGCAGAGGAGAGGGGAGATGGGATGGTTCAAGGCCGTGGTCAGCTAGCGCCTATGCGCTTGTCTTCCTCAACACCGAAACAGGGCCATGGTGGGGCCGGTGCAGCGAGTGTGGACGCGAGAATCGCGTTGGAGAGGACGAAGCTGACGAGCGGGTCCCGCACGCTAGTCGGAGAAAGTGGAGGGAAAGGGTGCTGCCGCGGAGCTGCTTGCTTGCTGGGGCGAGGGCGTGGCACCAGCCCACGTGGGGTAGAGGAAGGAGGAGGGATGGGCCATGCCCATGGGCCAAGAGGAAAGGTGAGGGAGATTCAGAGCGATAAGGAGGAGGGATGGGATATGGTTTTCAGAGCCTTTTTGAATGCTCTCTAAACTTGAATTCAAAGGATTTTTTTAACGGATTGTACCACCATAAGTTCAACAAGCAAAACACAACATATCACATGTGTAACTTGGCCAAATCTATTTGCGTCAAGAACAATCCTACGCTATTAATTTTGATTTATTCATAGGAAAAGTTCAAATCTTTACTGATTTTCAAAACATGGCAAAAATTTAGGGTGTTACACCGCGCGGGTATAAAAGGGGGGATGGCCGAGCGGGAGGGTAGTCCAGCGCAGGCCATGGCGGCGGTTGGCCGCTAAGTCAGCGTAGGAGCGCGGCCAGGGAGGTGGAGGTAGTGGTGGGAGCGCGACGTTGATGTCGTAGGCGAAGCCGGCCGTAGGCGAAGCCGGCCGACCAATTATCTGCTCCGGTGCTGCGGTTGAAGAGCGGAGGGGCCCCACGGCGCGCGGCCATGGTGCCACCGCCTCTGTTCCATGGCGGCGTGAGCGCCGGCGGCGGCACCAGCGCCATCAGCGGGGTCGGCGGTGCCACCCCCATGCTCTTGACGAACATGGCCGGGCCATGCTCCGGGCAGACGCCGGGGCGAACTGCAGTGTGGACTCCAGGCGCGGCAACGAACGGCGACCTACCCCCTCTCCGGTGCGGATCCTGTGGAAGCGATGAGGAGGGGTCCTGTGAAGGTGGATGTCGTAGAGCGCGCGACGAACTGTGCCCTGCAGCATGTAGTGGTGAAGGCCTCCGGCATGGTGTCCGCGAATCATAGCGGTCTCCACGGTGTCGGTGATGGAGTCCACCATGGCATTCATGGAAGGTAAAGGAGTCGTCATCTTTTACCTTGCTTTGGAAGGCGCTTACAACTCCGGCGAGTCCTCTGGCGATCCCACCGGCGAACTGCTCTTCTGTTCCTTCCTGTTTCTGGCTTCTCAGCGTCAGCGGTGTGAAGTCGCGTGCGTGATAATATGTTGAGCGAAAAAGTATCGATGGATGAAAAGTGTCTGATGAACAATGTTTGTACATATATACAAGCCCATTGGGCGGTTGCCTGTTGGCGAAAAGGTGCCTTTCTATGCCTATTCTAGAACTGTCATTAGCAGTTGCTAATGATGAGATTAACATAAATTGATCACTAAATAATAAATATTAACAGTTATATACCTGCAGAAGTAAGACAAGTAAACATCATTGATGCTCTACTAATAATATTTCCAAGAAGTGCTATACGTACATACATACATACATACATACATACATACATACATACATACATTTTTACATAAGACAGGTCAGCATCATTGACGCTCGATCTCTACCCAGGCCAATCGTGGTCATGGACCACTAGCTCACGGGTCACAACATTTTTCTTCCTGCGTGCTGCATACATGTGAAGAGCTTTGGCGTCATATGTTTTTGGTGCTTGTTCATCAACCATGCATGCCGACTGTTGTGACTGATCGTACGTTGTGGCTGCATTGATGTCCTCGACGACACTGTATGTCTGTATGTATGCAATGCATGGTTGGCGGCACGTAGCTGTACAACATATTGGCGTGATCGATCGAGCTAGATTTTATAGTACTACTACGTAGCACCAACCATGAATTGATTGCACATGCACCAAGTAAGACCAAACTGACATAAATGTCGTCACATGCAAACCGGTTAGGCTAGTCTCAGTGGGTTTCATCAGCATTTAATAAGGTGCCACGTTAGAAAAAGGGTGACATAGCAAGAGAATTAATAGGAGAGAGAAGAAATGAGTTTCGTGCGGATGGAACTCCGTTGGCACTATTTCCAATCTATGAAACACATATGAAACTGCATTAATTGAGAGTGAAGGGTTTCATCCCAAATATGTTTTGACCAATCTCAATATAGCAATTTAATGTTGTGGCTAGCCTATAAAATTGTGAGATGACACTATGCATTGAGAGAGGTTGTTTCATCTGAGACTGGCCTTAGATGATGAGATTCTGCGCGCCACAGGAATAATTGATATATTATTAGGGTACCCTTATCTTTTTGTTTTCCTCAAAGAGCTATCTCGGACATGAGTAATTAATAGCTGTGTACATCCCTGGTTGATGTAGAGGCTGGAAAAAAAATCTCGGACATGAGTGCTTTTGTTCTATCTTTCTGTTTGCCCTAGAGAGCTATCTTTGCTCAAATCAACTCGTGCACACAATTCTATCAGTTTGTAGCCTAAAGCAACACAAATGTTAGCTTGCTCGGCTCAAATCAGCTGATGCCCAAAACTCTCTCTCTCTCTCTTTGTAGCCTAACGCAATGGTATGGATACGTGGAGAGTGTAACTGAATCTATGATGACCAGTCAGTGGTTAACTCATCTTATCTTTCGCTATCTACTAAATAGCAAGCGCCCTTACAAAATCATATGCATTTTATAGCCTAAATTGTGATGAGTATTTATCTGAATTTCTCTACTCATGCACATATCTAGGATGAAAACTGCTGGGAATGATAGGAGAAGCTTAGATTGTTTTAAGTTTCACATTTCACCTGCATTAGAGTTTACCCTGTACGATAATATAATTCTATAAGGGCAAGTGTGCATGCATTTATAAGTGCCTGCGTCTATATTGTTGTTTCACAAAAAAATATAATTATATATTTATTTTGCCGGTAGCAACACATGTGCATTAAATTAGTATTAAAAATTTTGTATCATATATTTTTTCTTGACTTGTTTTATCATCATAGATAATTTAAGTTTGACTCATATTTCTATTTATTCACAGTAATTTTTTAATAAGACGAGAGGTCAAAGGTATATAAAAAAATCAACAGTGACTTACATTTTAAAACAAAGAGAGTACTTCAATAGTCAAACCTTATAATATTCATCCAACAATTATTGGACCCACGAAATATAGATTTACTTATCTGAAAGTAATATCATTAGATTCATATTTGAAAGTATTTTCTTATGGTTATGATTTATCATGGTTAATGCTTGATTTTATAGCAACTTGTTTACTGAAGATGTGAAGATTTCTTGTGATGATGACCACACAGCCGCCACCGGCAACACACTGATTTTTGAAGAAACATAGCCTAATCAGCTTAATACCTTCACCGAGCTAGGGGTGCACCAACAAAGCTCTTCAGTTCGGAGCATGATAGTGTATGTATATATCATGTGTGTGTGTGTACGTGTGTGTGTGTGTGGTTGGCGTGGTAGCTGTAAATCTTGTCGTGAGTAAGAGATATGGGGTAGCCCCAACCATGTGGGGTATGTGCATCAAGGCCAAAGCTAGTATACATGCATAAACGTTGTCGTAATTAAAGCGCAATTGGTCAATGTTATTTAAATGACCGTGCCTACACAATAGGAACTGAGAGCAGTCCCAATGAAAAAAACTAGTAGTTTCTATAACATAGGATACCGCACTAAAAAAATATTGCTTTCCAACCCATGGTTTCTATGAGTAATAATTATTTTCTCTTTCTCTCTCCCAACTCTATCTTCTTCCTCCAATGGAAGTGCGGCATGAGCCCCCTAGAAATTGGTGGTTTCTCCCCAATGGCGATTTCATAGTTTCTTGGTGCATTGGGTCAAGAGAAGACCTGATTTCTTCATGAGGAAATCATTTCTAGAATTTTTGCTCTCTTTCTTCATTAATTAAGTTGCTATGTCAGCGTTTTGCCTACGTGGAAAGTCATTTAATGAGGATAGAAACCTTCATCAATACACCATTAGGACTGCCCTGACGCTCTATAAGAGGAGCGTCGAGAAGGCTGTGTGCTTCTTCTGCCCTGCTCGCTTTAAGTATTCTTTTCTCTTCCTCATTTGGATCTCTTATTACTAACCCTGAATATATGCTTCTCTCATTAGTACATTACGTTCAATTCTGATTATATGCTAGCTTGCATGCAGTTTCGTTCTCTTGCATGTTTCACTCTTCACCATTTCCTACATTCCCTTAATTTTGTGCAGTGCTTCTTGCAGCAAGCTACATACTGCTGCGTGCGTTCAGCTTGGTGGTCGGAGCTAGCAGCGCATATATGGAATCCACATCCACTGCTGCATGGGCGGGACCTTACGAGCTTCAGCTGGCGATGAACTGGACCGCTGAAGAAGCACCAGCTGATGATGCTCAAGAAGTGTGGGCTCCTGCCGTTGGCCACCCTGCTTTGCAGTATTCGTCCATCGTCGACATATTTTGTTCCTCCTGCAGCCTCCAACCGTATGTCGTCCCTGCTAGCACTAGCAGCAGCTCTAGCGGAGGGCCGCAGCTACTGGTTGAGAACAACTACTACGCTGCGGCCGCACAGCATCACGATCCGACTGGGAAAGGAACGACGATGACACACGAGGATCTGTCGTCGTTTGAGCAGCAAATGGAGAGCTATATGAATAGCCCTAAGAAGCTATTCCAGGAAAGAAAGAAGGAGTTTGAGGATGCATATAATGCCCAATTCATGAAACAGAAGATGCACAGGTACCCTCCAAGCATTCGAGCTCTCGATGATGATGGTCTGTATACCGTCCCGAGGGTGGTGGCCATCGGCCCTTACCACCATTATGGCGGAGGCCATCTGAAGCAGGCGGAGGAGGTGAAGCATGCGGCTGCCTGCCACTGCATCACGTTATCCGGCCGCTCGGTCGAGGAGATGTACGGCGCCGTCATCTCGGCCGCGAATGACAGCGATGCCCGCGGCCTCTACCACACGGACGTGATGGCAGGTCTCGGCGACGACGACTGCTTCCTACCCATGATGTTCTTTGACGCCTGCTTCTTGGTGATGTATATCATTAAGAGGTCGGGCGCAGAGAACTACGACCCGACGCTGTACGATTTCTTCGAGTCCAATGACGATGACATCGCTCATGACATCATGCTGCTTGAGAACCAGATCCCCTTGCAGGTGGTGGACGCCGTCATGAACATGTGCACGGCCGAGCCCTTGGAGAGAATGAAGAAGTTCATTGCCAGGTGCAAAGATGGCTGTCTGCAAGACCGGGTTGTCCCTGGATTTCCTCGTGTTGACTGGGATGAAGACTACTACAATGAAGCACCGCATCTCCTTGGCCTCCTCCGATTCTACGTTGTAGGAAAAAGAAGTAGCAGCAAACCCAAGGTGTCACCTTCCGATTTAAAGAAAATGGAATCGATACCAATTTCAGCCGGTGCCATCGAGCTTGCCGAAATGGGCATCTTCCTCACAGCCAACGAAACAACGGAGCTCCCAGACATGGGCCTCGCCAGGAAATGGATCATCTTCGCCGAGCTCTCCATGGCGCCGCTGTCTCTCAACGATGCACGTGCAAGCTGGCTCGTCAACATGGCGGCTCTCGAGCTATGCACGACTCCAGATTTTTTGATAAAAGGCGGAATTTGAAGACTCTGCTGTCTGCTCGTACCTCCTCCTGCTCTACATGTTGATGCATCGGGAGGAGGACGTGCATGAGCTGCGAACCAGGGGTATCCTGCAAGGAGCAGGGCTCACCAACAAGAAGACACTCGACTTCTTCACCAGCCTGCAGAGAATGCGCCTCGGACGCTGCTATGGCCTCGTCATGGTACAGATTGCGAGTTACAGGATGAATAGGCCGTGGATCAATCTGTACGCGTTTTGCTACAGGAACCGCAAGACCATCGCCTGGGCGGGCTCCGCCATTGGTGGATTTATCGGTATCATCACGACGCTCATCAAACTCAAGGGCGCCCATTGATATGAGAGAGATGCATGTAGTATTTCCCTGGTATATTGTTGGTGCTGTTAGTATTCCCTGTCCATATAGTTTCTCCCCTTTGCATTGTACCTCCGAATGTATTTAATATGTGTCTAGTTGAATAATAACAATCTGGCAGCGAATGTCTCTGTAGAATGGAAGTAATCATCAGGCACATATATGCTCTCGGAGGCTACAGGTACCAAATATGTCCATGATGGAACGCATGCTCCATAGGAAGGCCAGCAGGAGCCCAAACATGAACAACTGGTCCTTCAACGTACGGTGCAGTTGCTGGGCGGCTCTGGGCCTAGACACCCTCGTGGAACAGCTCTGGGACAACCCACCTCCTCCTCTTCGAAACACTAAACTGAAGTTAAGATCCACGGTGGTCATCTGTGTTCTGTGGAATATCTAGAAATGTCGTAACTCCAAGGTCTTCAAGCATTCAGACGAAACCAACCATAGGATTTTCCGGCGTTATGCCGACGATTCAAGTCTCTGGTCTTACCGCTGCTTTTCTGTGCCTGACCAGACCGCTGTTCTTGAGTGTAGCTCTTTCTTTTGCTCCTTACTTTGATGTCACCTCCTTCTTGGTTGTAATATTTAATTTAGACCCTTTTTCTTGTGCTTTCTCTGTGTTTTTGTGCTTTTTCTTTTTCTTTTCTTTGGCCTCTGTAATTATTTGTCAACTCTTATGCAATAAAAATGTTCAGGCAGCTGCTTAAGCTGCCGTAGTTTCGCTAAAAAAAACGTACGGTGCAGTTCGCCAGATGAAACTCGCAAAGATCCCCATGTTGCCTGTGTATGTACCCACACACTGAGACACACATATGCTCGAACCGGCAGGCCGGCAAGCTGAAATTATAAGCTAAGTTAGCACATATATATATACGTCGATCTGGACTAATGTCTGTTAAATTACTAGGATCGACTAGGAGTTGATCTAGCGGGTGGAACCTCTTCTATTTGGTATAAAAAGATCAAGAACATGAACTTGAGAGAGAGAGAGAGATAGAGAGAGAGAAAGAGGGGGTGCTACCGACCATCGTTGGGCTTGGTGGTGGAGCCAGCAGCGTCCATGGTGATGAGGGAGGTGCGGTCTGGGTCGGTGAAGTGGAGCAGCAGAGGCGGTAGTGAAGACGTCAGTGGCACTTCCCGTCGCTTCAGCGCCTCTCTCTTAGATCGGATTAGGGTTAGAGTTGTTGGGGGGTGTGGCGGCTCAGATCAACCTCATGAGTTGAGCCCCGGCTCCCCCCTTTCCTTTTTATATGGCACTGTGCGACGGGGGCCCACCAACCAGAGAATGGTTGGGCGCCCCCGATCAGGGTGCGGATCAAGTTCCCGACTCGGTCATTGGACCGAGTCGGGAGGAGATCAATCCAACATTTTCCCCCTTGATCTCACCTTATTACCTAATCTTAAAACCTTTTTCTCTTTTCCCATTCTATCCCAGATTAGTGCATAGAGCGTGCCTCATCGTTACGGTCTTGTGCCATTAAATTAAACAGCTACAATGCACTTCTCCGCCTTTGGAGGATTTATCGGTATCATAACGGCGCTCATGAAACTCAAGGGCGCCCATTGACACGAGAGAGATGCATGCATGTAGTATTTCCCTGGTAACTAATTAATACAGTAATTAGTACGTTATTCCCTGTATTTATCTATATTTGTTGCCATTCACATCGATCATTGAGTTATCAGCATGTGCCGTCTGCTGTAAAATGTTAGTTTGTCTCCGTATTAATCTTGTGCAGTTCGTTAATTGTGCGTCCCCAGCTTGTGTGTTGTGGCAGTATAATATATACAGTACTGGAGTATCTCATCTGTTGGCCGCGAGTTAGCGTTCGTTACTACAATTTGCAAATAAACTGCTTTCTATCTGTATAAGCACTACCAATATTGAGAAACCTTAGTTTTTTTTTCTTATATACTACCTCCGTATCTAAATATTTGTTGCCGTTGACCTTTTATCACGGTTTGACCGCTCATCTTATTCAAAAAATTTGTGTAAACATACAAAAACATAAGACATGCTTAAAATACCTTATAATGATGAAGTGAGTCATACATAAGATTTTTGAAACTTACAATTTTTTTTTGAATAAGACGAAAGGTCAAACTTGTGATCAAAAGTCAACAGCAACAAATATTTAGATATGGAGGGAGTACTTAATTTATTTGTCACTAAGTTACGGTGCGGGTGCTATATAATTAAGCTGGCGGCTGCACCTCGGCCCACTACCCGTTGTCAGTGAGAGCGAGTTGCACCTCGTGGTTTAGTGGCAAAATATTGAATGACGACGTAGGGGATTGGTTAGTCAGTGTCACCGGATGGAATAAAGAACCCAAACATAATCTATATACAGGCAAAAACCGATTTCATTTACGGGCAAAGTTGATGCCCGTACAACTTTAAGAAAGTTTCATCAAGTTCTCTGTTTTCTAGATATTGAAAGTAACTTGCGTTGCACTATAGACAAACCAGCAAGGTGACCCGCGCAGATAGCACCTAGCGCGGCTAGACACGTTATAGTATATTTTTAGTATAATAATCTATTTTATTAAAATAAAATTATCTTCAGGTCTACGAAAAGTTAGTAGGTTTTGTTGACACATAACCCAACCATTGCATGGGCGGTCATAACACTCCTGTCGATAACAATTCAATGTTTGTGGTCAAAGGTGGCGCCATGGCGTGGTGCTCATCGATGACAACCCAGTTTTATGATCACTGATTCACTGGTGATCTTCAACTGTGCTCACACGGTGAACAACGACCACCTAGACGGTCACAGGCTCACTGCAACCCATGGCATTGTACCTATTCGATCTGACTACTCGACCAATATTAGGGCTGGATGTCGTGCCCGGCTCGGCTTAGTCTGGCTCGTTTAGATAATGAGCCAGCTTGGCTCAGCTCGTTAACGTAACGAGCTAAATGTTAGGCTCAGTTCCGCCTGCGAGCCAGCTCGAGCTTCAATCAGCATCTCAGGAACAACCAATCGAAACAAGTAGCGACAACTGCACGTACATACACAGAAGCAACACTACTGGAAACGCGTACTTTGCCGAGGGCCTGAGGCTTTACCGAGGGCCAAATATCGGGCACTCGGCAAAGAGACTCTTTGCCGAGGGCCAGACACAGGAGCCCTCGGCAAAGAACGGCCCTCGGCAAAGAAGTCTTTGCCGAGGGTACGGCCCTCGGCAAAGACAGCCCACGGCAAATCAAATCTTTGCGAGGGCCTAGGCCCTAAAAGAGATGCCCTCGGCAAAGTAGGCCCGCTTGGTCACGGCGGCCATTTCGTCAAACTTTGCCGAGGGCCACCCGTTAGGCCCTCGGCAAAGGTTCGCAATTTTTTAAGTCTTTGCCGAGGGCCCTGCACTGTGCCCTCGGCAAAGTTTTTTTATTTTTATTTTTAAAATTCTTTGCCGAGGGCCATGGGTCGAAACCCTCGAAAAAGAGCCCTCGGCAATTTTTTTTTGTTTTTTAGCCCAGTTTTTTGTGGTGCTACAATACATTGTTTGAACTCAATTTTAAAATTTAGGCCAATTTTGATTTTGTTTTGTATATTTCCTTAATTTATTTCGATTCTTTGATTTTTTTGAATATGTCAAATTTGAATCTGCAGTGCATGGAATATTGCAATGTAGTGTTTCAAAAATGTTATTCATATTAATTGGTGCATGTTGAGTCCCTATCCACGAGCTCGCATCAAATTTTCATGCATCTTGTTAAGTGTAACATGGCGACCGACTTCTTGGAAAGTGTTTTAAAATTATATAAAATCCATCACGAAGTCAAGAAAATCACGAAACTTGGCGAGATGTGTCATGTTTACATCACATGTAGTACCCTCTGTGGTAATGTTGAGAAGGTTTCTGCGCATCCGACGTCGGATGCAACTCGCTTCAAATCCACATCAATTTTTTACCACAGCACATGTGGAGATATGACACCTTGACAAGTTTCAGATTTTTGACTTCAGATGTATTTTATATAATTTAAAACACCTTCGACAAGTTTCTCATCATGTTACGTGAAGAAGATGCCCAAATTTGATGCGAGTTCGTGGATAGGGACTCAACATACACCAAATACCATGAATAATATTTTTGAATCACTAAATTGCATTATTCCATCCACTGCAGCTTCAAATTTGAAATATTCAAAAAAATCAACGAAAAGAAATAAATTAGGGAAATATATAAAAAAAAAGTCAAAATTGACCCAAATTTTAAAATTGAGTTTTAAATAATGTATTATAGCACCACCAAAAAAAACGAGTTCAAAAACAAAAAATTGCCGAGGGCTTAGCCCGCCCTCGGCAAGGGGATCTTTGCCGAGGGCATGGGGCCAATGGCCCTCGCAAAGAAAATTAAAAAAATACTCCAGCTTCGCTTTTCCTTCCCCACTCTTCGCTTCCTTCCCGACGCTTGTCGTCCCTCCTCCGCACTGCGTGCTCACCCCACCGAAGCCCAGCAGCCTCGCCCGCCCGCGCGAGGTTATCACGCTAAGCACCAAGCGTCCGCCTTTGCAGCCCACGGGCCGGCACATCGTCCTAGGCGCGGAGCCTCGCGACCCTCACAGTGCTCGGCGCGGACGGCGGCGGCCCGTCGCCCCACAGCCGCATCGCCGCCTCCGCCGCCCCCCCATGCCGCA